CTGCTGATTTCGTAACACACCCGAAGTAATGTGACAGAGCGGTGCCGCGTGTCACATTCGTTTCAGTATGAATTTTCTCTGTTTGTCACCTTCAATCTGACATCGTAGTTTTCACGTTCAAACGAATGCAGGGATCCTTAACTTAACTTAACATTTAACTAACACTGCTTTCATAACGTAACATAAAGACAATGTTCGCTGAAGGTTAAGGGTACGGACTTCTGAAAGTACTTGCAAAAGCATATCCACACAAATTCGAGACATAAAAAAATAACCTACCCTTTTGAAAAGTTGTTAAAATTTAAGGGTAATAACTTTAACTCTTATCATAACGTTATGAAGCCCTTATGAGGTAAGGTAAGGATCCCTGAACGAATGTGATGTCACATTCGTTGGCTACCAGTGTACAGGTGCATACTTATAAGTACACACCTACAGATGCATACCTAGCTGAGTACACATCTACAGATGCATACTGGGCTGAGTACACATCTATAGATGCATACTTGACAGGCATGCATCTGTAGATGTGTACTCAGCCCAGTATGCATCTGTAGATGTGAACTTGATACTGGGCATTTATGTGGTGACAAGTACACACCTCCTAATGCATACGTGCCAAGTCAGATGCATACTTTAACAGGTATGCATCTGTAGATGTGAAAGTACTCAGATGCATCTGTAGGTGTGAACTTATAAGTATGCATCTGTAGATGCATACTAAGTACACACTTCAGTTTGTAGAGTGTTTCTGACATTCTGACAAAATTCACACGAGTGTTTCAAATAATTTAAGGGTTTGAGTGGAAACTAGAGATGTTCAAAAATCAAATTCGGAAGGTTGTGAACCTTATCTGTTTCCCCAAGTCAAAAGTGCCGGGTTGGTTGTTGTCTGTCGAAGCCCGGGTGACGTATTGCCAGAGCGATAGCGTAGCCCGCGGGCTCACACTGCGAGAAAAAACTACGGAGAATCATGTTAATTTTTTCACAGCGTCGCTCTGTACCCAAAACTACAGTGATCTCTGTCTTTTAAAAGACGGAGCTCACTGTTGTTTTTTGTGTTCATCTCTCTGTTGTCCGAGCGGCCAATGCCACATCGGGACGGCATGGTCAAAGCCTCTTAGGTCACCGTTGGGCCCCCGAGGACGTCGACGGGCACCTCACAGGGTCCCCGATGACCATGCGAGCATTTTAGACCTAGGTTCCGACCATTCGTTGAAAAGGTCTCATCAAGATCTACTCGAATCAAGAATAAAAAAAAATTCTTGGTCAACCCCCTTTTTTCAAGATCCAGTTGACCAATCAGGATCCTGAAAAAAGGGGGTTGACCAAGAATTTTTTTTTATTCTTGATTCGAGTAGATCTTGATGAGACCTTTTCAACGAATGGTCGGAACCTAGGTCTAAAATGCTCGCATGGTCATCGGGGACCCTGTGAGGTGCCCGTCGACGTCCTCGGGGGCCCAACGGTGACCTAAGAGGCTTTGACCATGCCGTCCCGATGTGGCATTGGCCGCTCGGACAACAGAGAGATGAACACAAAAAACAACAGTGAGCTCCGTCTTTTACAAGACAGAGATCCCCGTAGTTTTGAGTACAGAGCGACGCTGTGAAAAAATTAACAGGATTCTCTGTAGTTTTTTCTCGCAGTGCAGGCGTTACGCGTTACTCAGGTGGGGTCGTAAAACTTTTTCTGTTAGTTTGTCCGTCTGTCTGTTCGGGTCCAGGACAACTCGTCCCGACCGACATGTACCCCGGACAATAAGTCTCGGGGCTATCCCGTCCCAACCCAAGTGGTGCCCGTCCTAAATCGCCCCAAAAAATATATATTTTGAAAAATTGTTTTTATTGAAATTTTGTCCGTATTTTACGATGGGTCCAACTGCATCGCGTCGTGCCAACAAAAGCAGAAGTTTTCTAGGTTGCCCCAAAAGACACAGATCTGCTTTTAGGAATCTTTCTGATTCTTCCTATTTCCCATTCTTACAATTTTTATCAACATAAATATCTGATCGAATCATCCACTTTCGGAACCTTAATGTGCCAGGAAGGCGGAAGGGGGTAGGAGCGCTTCTAACCCAAAAGCAAATTTTGATACTTGGATGGTATGAATCGGCACTGACCTTGTCAGTCTACACCGTTCTAAGCACAGAACAAACAACTTCTCTGAGTCAAGTCACACAGTAAGGTTGGGTCTTGTGGATCTACAAGCAAGTGTTTGGACTTCTCTCCACAAGCATATGCTTGTGGATTCACAAGCAAAAATGCCGTGATGAAAGGAAGGGATAATGAGGGTTTGACGAGGGTGTGACAGCTCCGTCGCCGCGCCAGCGAAAATATGCCAGACCGTAGCCTGGTATCGTACCCAGGCCTGTGGAATACGGGCCCGACACTTTACCGCTAGACTAGCGATGCCTGTGAGGGAGGACGGGTCCAGCCGCACCAACTATCCGCCAGCCCGCCCGGCAGCTGCCCTCGCTGGACACTCCCCCCTCCACTAAGGGGTATTGAAATAGGCTGGCGGAGTGGGCCGAATCTGTGTTCATCCGCGAGGACCAGAGGGACTATGTTACAATGCTAATCTTATGGGGCCTAATTTTGCAATGGCAATAATGAAAAAACTAATCAAAAGTTAGCAATTTAACCATACAA